GTCTATAACTTTCATCTTGGAGCAGTCCCTGAGCCAAAAACCATTCGGAGCCCCTGGCTGGGAGTATGGGCTTTTCTCTGAGTCAGGCTTCCCACACTCCACTTACTCAGAACTGGAGGACTATTATGGCGTTAGTCAAGCCCACAAGCGTAAAATATCAAATGCTCACTACCCCACGCGATGGAAGCGTGTGTGTGGCAGGCCTGTTCTGCGGGCTCCTGTGGGAAGTCTTGGTGCCAGACAGATGCCAGGCCACACGGTCTGAGTAACGAGCTGCCTCCTTTGTTCTCCACTCAGGGCCCCGATGGCGCTCTTCGTGGCGGGCCTGGCTGCCTCCTTCCTCCTGCAAGCCACCCTCGCTCTGAACCCCGAGGACCCCAACGTGTGCAGCCACTGGGAGAGGTAAGAAGCGGACGCTGAGCTGGCACTCCGAGGGGCTCGCCCTGGGCTTGGCATCATGGGGGCCAGAGCAGCATCAGGAGAGGCTGCCGCTGTCCACAGAGGGCCTGCTGTCCAGCTGGGGGCTCAGCTCAGGTGCAGGAGGACAGGGCTGAGCAGTGTGGATTTCTTCTGAGCCCAGCACTGGGGGAAGTCAGAGTGGAGGCGACTTAGATGAACTGCAGTGGACAGTGCAGGGGACAGTCCAGTCCTGGCCTTCCCCACTCAATTTACATTCAGGGACTTAGAGGCCCAGAGGAGTGTAGTCTCCATCCACAGCCAGGTGGGGTACAGTGAATGACAGGAAGTGGACCAGGATCCCACCTGTCTTGCTCTCTGATATGCTGGGGGTGCCTGATCTGGTATCCAGGGACTGGCAGCAATATGGCAGCTTGGTTGGGTGGCCAGCAGCCTGCCCTGAGGAGGGGAGTGGCCCTGTTGCTTCTGTTCTGGTGGGGGCAGAGGGCTTCCAGAGGAAGGGTGCCCGAGGGCACAGTAGGAGAGCAGGCTGCCTACTGCCTTAGCCCTGGGGAACGGGCTGGTTCCCTGCAGATGGTCTGACTTTGAAGCACAAGGTTAAAGTATTGATTTTGGTGAGCAGAAAGACAGTGACCAGAGACCCAATCAGGAAAAACCGAATTAAACCCTGGAATTGATTGGCTGTGCTGACCAGGACGACTCTGCCACTTAGATGCTAATAAATCAAATGAATAAAATTAAGATGAAGGCCTGATGTGGGGTGGGGGAAGCAGATGATAGAGGAGGGAGGCGAGTTGGGCCATGCCCGCTCCCTGCCTATGATGGTGAATGGCCAGCTCTGTGTCCTGGACACCTGTGGGCCAGGAGGGACTGGTGGGAGGCATGGGGACAGTGCCTCACTAGAGTGATCTGCTGTGACAGGATGTTCTAGTGGCAGCCTGACAGAGGGGAGACTGGAGCAAAAGGCAGTGGTCTGGAAACCCAGGAAGCATAGGAGAGGGGTGGTGGGAAGACCGCAGTGCATTCCAATCTGGATTTTTCTACCTTTAGCTCTATGATGTTGGGAAAGTCTCTGAACCACTCTGAGCCCACATGCAGCTCTGACAGTGGGGAGAGAAATTACTCTTGCCCCACAGCCTCATTGGAGGATCAAGGCCACCAGTGTCATTAAAGTGCTCTGAGGACCATAAAGCTCCGTTTTTGTCTTTTCCTGACAACTCTGGCTGCAGGAACTGGTATCACAGACCTACGCACACTAGACTCACTGTGGGGGAGGGGTGTGAAAACAGTCTGGGGGCCTAGCCCCAGGGATTCTGAGCCAATATCACATTTTTCATAAGCTTTCCATGAGTTTCCAAGGTCTACTCAGGCCCCTTGCCCCTCTGGTTTCGGTGAATTTAAGCCTTTATTTCCCAGTGGGTCAGGGAGGTAGCAGGTAGAGCCTCCCATTAGTCTTTTGGCCTCCAGTCTCAGCTAAGCACTTCCATCATGTGGCTCAGTAGAGGACCAGTGCTTCCTGTATGACAGTCAGGCCCTAGGATACCCCCTTTCCATCTGCCCACTTCTGTGTGTGGCCAGGGGTCTTCTTTTCCAGGGAGCCTTTCCTAATGGCAGGGCCCACACTGACTTCCTCTTCTCACAGTCCCATTTCTACCAGTGGATCTGTTCAAACATAAACCAAATTCTTAATTTCCTAAACCTTGGCACCATGAATGCATTTGGAATGTGAAAATATTGGGCTGGGCCTTGGGCTGGGCGAGTAAGACCATCAGCTGAAGCTGCAGCCTGAGTGAGCAGACAGGAGCGTAGCTAAGGCTGGGGACCTCTGGGCTCCTCCTGCTGCAGCAGGGAGGCCTTGCCTGCTGACACCACGGTGCCTCCTTCTCGACTTTTCCAACGGAGCTCGACTGCCAGTTATACATGCACAGATCTGCGTCATTCCAGAAATACACCCGGTCCTCAGAGACCGCTTAGGGAGAATTTCCCAGCTGGATTAGTGCTTCTGGCGGGCTCCTCATTAATTATGCCCCTCCACCATAAAACCCAGTGTGGAGACCTCCCCTGGCTAGTAAAGCCTGGCTCTACAAGATTAATCTGCCCCCTCATTAGCATGTTGGCAAATGAGGAGTGTTAAACCACCCAGCCATGAAGCTGGGACACACACTTCAGGTCAGAGACTTGGAGTCTGTACAAGGTCTCATTGCCAGACTCAGTCAGCCCAGGGCATCCTGCAGAGCTGGGTCCATCTCTGCCTGACACCCCATCTCTCTCTCTGTTGAGCTAGTGCCTTTCTTCTGAGCAGCCACTGTCCTTTTCAGTGTTGGAACCCCCAAGTGCTTAACAAAGGTGGGGACTCGCTCTGAGTGCAGGTCTTGCTTCCTCTGTCCTCCGCTCTGGTCAAGGAGGAAGTCTCCTTCTGTGATGACACAGGAAGTAAAACGTTGCCTGTCATCATGATGATGGCCAACATCTGTTAAACACTTACTGTGTTCCTGGCAAGCATTTTATACGTATTATCTTGTTTTATCTTCCCATCATGCTAAGGGATAGATAGATATCATTATTGCTCTCCTTTAGTCCTTACAATAATCCCATGAAGTCTCTGATAATACAGGAGTTGAGACACACATGCAAGGATGTGCTGCTAACAAGCGACAAACTTCACTCGTGGCCCCATGAGTTTAGGCTTCAGAGCCTGGCACTCTGCCCCGGGCATTCTCCCGCCTCTCAGTGAGGCACTTGGGAGATGTGTCACAGTGCCATGGATTTTCAGAATTGGAGAGGCCTCAGTTTCCCTAAGCCTGGAGATGAGCCGAGGTTCCGGCTGTGTCTGAATAGATTTGTGCCTCTGGCGCCTCTCCAGCATGCCAGCCGGCGGGGACATATCAAGAGCCCTTCTTACATCCTTAGCACATCCAGTAGAATTTCCCACCACCCAGGTCCCTGAGCATTGTCTCCTGCTGAATTCCAGACCTTTGACCTTTGAGGCATTTGAGAATCTGCTGTGTACCCACACAAGCCCAGCACCCGTGCAAACGATCCAACACAGTGTCCTCAGGCAAAGCAGACAGGCTTTTAGAGCCTGGACCTGGCCATCTGGCCCAGGTCAGGCGCCTTCTGGGGGAAACACTGAATAAGACCAATCTACTTCAAATGAATTCCTGAGCCCTCAGCTGGGTGTGCTACAGCCTGCATAGGAGGTGCCATTTCACACCACCCCACCAGCGGGACAGGAGGAAGGCTTACTTTGGTTAAGCTGAGATCTGTTTCCCTATGGCTTCTACCCACAGGTCCAGATTTACAGCTAAAAGGTAGATGGACAGAATACCTCTCCTATCAGGAGGTTTGAGGGCATGTCCTTGATGTGTCCCCAAATGCACCAGAGGTAGAATAGGCTAGAGAGTCACTGGGGGAATCTGGGGAAGTCACTTACGCTAGCTGAGGCTCAGTTTCATTGTCTATTACAGTGAGAACAATAATTCCATTTATTTCATAAGGTTGTCTGAGAATTAAAAGGGATTAAAACATTTAACACAGGACACTTAATAAATATTAGCAGTTGATACCAGCTGAGTGACCTGGGCAAGTTGCCTTTCTGAGCCTCAGTTTCTTCATCTATAAAATGGGGCAACTTATTTCAAAGGGTTACTACCAAGATCAGCTTCCATACATGTTTTTTGAAAATGACAAAAATCTGAAAAAACATTTTAACATATGTATCTGAATATTTATTTATATACGTATATAATTTTGTCTTAGAAGTGGGTCTTAACTATGTTGCCCAGGCTAGTCTTGGACTCCCGGGCTCAAGTGATCCTCCTGCCTCAGCCTCCCAGATAATAGGACTACAGGCATGCACCACTGTGCCTGGCTTACATAAAATATTTTTTTAAAAATTTGTCAACCCTGACTTCCAGAACCATACAATATAAAACCTAAATCTTCCTTTGTTCATTCTCAGACAAATGAAAAAATGAGCTAGAATTTTAGAAAATTAGCTGGGCCAGAGGTCAGTAAGGGATGTGATGTGTCCTGGGGCCAGCCTAGGGTCAGGGAGGTTTGCATACTGGGGGCATCCAAGGTAGCGGGGGAGATTGGGGAGTGGCCTCAGGGCTATGGTGGGTGAGTCTGGGGAGGGAGGCAGCATTCTGACTTCAGGTCAGTCATCCTGTCCAATGCTGACCATGGCTCCTATGCCCTGTCTGGTTCCCAGCTACGCCGTGACTGTCCAGGAGTCGTATGCACATCCCTTCGATCAGATCTATTACACGCGATGCACAGATATCCTCAACTGGTTCAAGTGCACCCGGCACCGGTGAGTACCTCTCTCAGATGATGGGGCAGGAAGGGTGCAGGTCCTCATGGCTTGCCTTGGTGCAAGTTAGTAAAAAAACCCCGGAGCAGATGTCACCACTCACCTCCGGAGCCCCCTTGCCACTCTCTGCACACTGAATGCCTGAGGTGCACGGCTGGCCGCTGCTTTCTGGCCAGAGGAGCCTGGTGAGGGCAAGGCAGCCAGAAAAGCTAGAGAGTTAATGGCTTTGGGGGCATCTTCAGCCAGGGACAGATGGGGAGCTGGTAGATGAACACCCCAGCTTCCCCACCCTGATGGTGGAGGGCACAGCCATGAAGCACATCTATGCCATACCCCATGGTCCCCTCAGGTTGGAACCCCAGTCGTCCATAGTAAGACTGTGTGTTTTCTGTTTGAATTTTAGTCACTGGGAGTATTATTGAGCTATTGTTTCTGCTTGGGGCCATTCCCTTCTTCCCTAGCATTCATGAGGCCCTAGGTTCAATCCCTACATCAGCACATAAAAAAAAAAAAGTGTCCACTCACCTCTACTTTTATTCTCTCTCTAATGTCTCCAAGGAGTTGCTTTTTATGTTTTCCTCCAGATTTCATAGTTGTTAGTTGCAAAAAGGTTGATCTAACAGGAGCTACTCAGCCATGACCACATCCCCTCCTCTAGCCTTTGAACCTGAGATGTGGAGATGGGGCCAACTATTCCCTCTAACCTCCCCAGGTTTACCAGAGTTGGTTGCTTGTGGCCCTGGTCAAAGGTAGAGATGGGAGTCCTGCTCCTCCCCTGCTCCCTGGCATCCCTGTGCCAGAGCCAGGTTTGCTCAGAGTGTGGCTCTTTTGGATACTTGGAGGCCACAGCTGCCGTCCATCACCCCTAGGCATGGGTGAGGGAATGGCTGCTTATTAAAACAGGTTATATTCCCAGAACATGAATTATTTTGTTAAATTATTGAGTCGACTTGCAACTCTCCCAATGACCCGGAGTGTGCATGCTGAAAGCGGCACCATCCGTCTGCTTAGGTGTGGAATAGCTTGTTGTCATTCAGGGTCCTTCTCCTGAAAGCAGCCTGGCCCATGGCCCTGCCCTGTCCTGCTTCCCACAGGGGGAGCAAACCAGGAAGGGGAGCCAGAGACAAGGGGTGGCATCTCTCTCCTCACAGGCATTCATGTTAACGATGCCAAGCCCACCTCCCCTTTGGGAGGGCTCAGGGTACTCCAACTTGGTGGGGACAATGGACCGAATGATGACCTCTCAGTCAAACTCCTCTGAGTCATTTTCTTTCCGGTGCTGGGATGGAGTCATTCATTCTTTATCTGCAAGGCTCACACAGCCCCCGATACTGCCTCCTGTGCAGAGGAAGCTGCTTCCCTGGGAGGCTTACCTTCCATTATGGGCTTTTGACGAAGTAGAATGACCTTAGCTCCCGACATTCCCAAATATCACAGATTTCCCTGAGGCCTGCATTGTCATTTGTCATGAAGCGAGAGCTTTAGGACTGGGAGGTTGTCTGGGCCTGTGCTGGGGGGACTCCCTTCCCCACCTGGCCCACCCTCTGCAGGAGGCAGGCTGTGGGCACCTCCGCCCCTGCTGCTCTGCTACTGTGGAGGGGTCCATAGGGCAGGGCCCGTGAGTCTGAGGGGGACAGAAAGAGCCCTGACTCTGAGGCCCGGGGACCTGGGGCTGGTCCTATGTGCACTCCATGGCCTTGAGCAAGTTACTTCCCCTCTCTGGTCTCTGATGGCCCCATCAAATCTCCTCCACTTTAACTTTACTTGTGACAAAGGGGCTTTTGATTCCCTCCTCAGGGTTCTGTCCTTATATATCCCTATTTCCCTTGCCTTACTCCTTCACCATGACCCACTGCAGGGCCCGAGAGCCACCCTGAGAGGACTGGCATAGAGCAGCCAGTGGGGCCTTGTGGCTTTGAAATTAGGGTGACCTGGGTTTGAATCCTGAATCTGATGCTTTTTAGCTGTGTAACCACAAGCAAGTCATTAACCTCTCTGAATCTCAGTTTTTCTCATCCATAAAACAAAGGGTGGGAGTTATGGGCTAATGTAAAATAAAAACTCTAAACAAGTAATAAAAGAGAGCCCATAAATAGGGCATCATAACGTGGCTGCCTCAGGGGCTATTGGGACAGGACCAAGTGTTAACACTTGTGCCCAGGGACTAGCACCCAGGTCCCTGGGTCCCAGGCCGGGGTGTCTCCTGTCCTCTGGGCCCAGCCCCTTCCTCTGCAGTGTGAGGTTTAGAGATTCCCGGGGAGAGCATGTGAGGCTCTCCAGGAGCTGTTATTTTGGGGTTGAGGGAGATTTATGAGGGACAGAGTAGGACTCAGTGGGTCCTTTTGCTTCAGTTCTCTGAGTGGGCAGCCCAGACCCCAGGTCCAGGAGTAGGGCGGGGTGGGCCCAGCAACTCTCAGGGCCTGACTCCTGTCCGGCCTCCATGGGTTCCTCCAGCCCAGAATCTGGAAGTGTCAAGGAACCAAGTGAAGCCCACTGCTGCCCCCCACCGTGTCAAGCCAGACTGTGTCCACCTTGGTCCTTCTGCGTAGAAGAGATCTGGAAGCCACGGGTTAGCCACTGGCCCTGCTCGCAGTGCGCTCGGCTCCTCAGTGGCACAGACCCCGCCATTGATTTTTCTTTATTGTGTTCCTTCATATTCAAAGCCGCTGTGCATTTCAGAGTAATTATTGAATGGCATCCTCCATATAGCTTAACACAAATATCACCTTAAACGGGAGCCATTGATTTTCAATGCCCTCACGTGGCTTTCTCCCTTGTGCCTTAGGATCAGTTATAAGACGGCGTATCGGCGCGGCCTCCGGACCATGTACCGGCGGAGGTCCCAGTGCTGCCCTGGCTACTACGAGAACGGAGACTTCTGCATACGTACGTAGGGGCTGCTGCTCCCCTGGCCTGAGTGCGGGTGGGCGGGGTGGGAGGGGAAGGGGAGAGAGACAGGGCTGTTGTTGGCCCCAGCTGACCCCAGAGCACCAGAAGTCTCTGTCTGCTGCGTGTGCTGACAGGGTGGTGGGTTTAGTGCAAACACGTTAGTTAGCAAGGGTTCGGCCATCAGATCCACCTCCTCACGGGGTGGATGGGAGCCGGGCAGTTCAGGCCCCGATGGGGACAGGGGAGAGGTGGAGCTTTCTAGAGTGGGCCCTCTAGGGGACAGAGGGGAGCAGCGCTGAGTGCCCGGTACTGGGCCTAGGCTGTCGCAGGTGCCCAAGCAGGCTTTGTTGGAGGCAGGAGAGGGAGGGAGGAAGCTTGCCGCATCAGATGGCAAAACCACAGTCCCCAAGAAGAGGATGGCAGGGATAAGGCAGACCAGAGGAAGCAGAGCCAGGAGGATTTCCACAAAGAACTGGAGGACACTGGGTAAAGACAGTGCATGGAAGACACGCGTCACCTCTTACCCTGTGTCGGCTCAGAGAACAGAAGCCTTAGTGTCCCCCAGGAAGAGAAGAGCTACAGCCCTCTGGGTGGAGCAGTGTGGTACAGTGGGAAGCACCCGGGAGTGGGGTCTCTGGTCCCTGCGTGCCTGCCACATGGGCTTGGGCCAGTCACTTCACCTCCCTGGGACAACAACTGTGGGTCCTGCCAGAGTCTAAGGGACTTTTCCCACTCACTGCCCAGTGGAATGGGACCTGGGGACTGTCCAGTGGCATGTAAGTGTGTCCTTGATTGTCAGAGCAGCTGGGAGGCTTGTAATTAGTGCCAGAGAGGTGACCCCATCCCAAAGCCTCTGCTGTCAGGTGGAGAGTCCTGCCTCCTCCTTGCCATCCAGGTGGGCAGAGGGGGCTGGGCAGAGGGGATTCAGGCAGGGTGAGCGGGTTTTTCTCGGGAATGAAATGACAGTTCCCCCTCCTGTTGTCACATCACCCCTGATGCTGGAGAAGCTCGATTCTAATAGCATTGCAGGAATGAATGAAAAATGCTTCTGCAAGTGGGTTCAATAGTGATGGTTTTTGTAGGAAAAATGCAAAGAAATTCACTCAAAGCAAGTCCCAAAGGTTGTTTCTCAGGAACAGGCAGAGAACTGAGCGAGGACTAGTCCCTGGCTGTGCCTCACTTGGGATGGGGGACTCTGGGGACGTGGGGGCAGAAGCGAGGTCAGCACGGAGCTCTGCAGCGGCTCTGCCCACGCAGAGTGAAGCAGGTCAGGCAGTTCGTGAGCTCATAAAGCCCGAGCAGGGTGGACGTGTGGGGCCTGCCCAAGGCCAGGGCACGGTGATGGCCTCAGGAAGTTATAAAGGAGTCTGGGTGTCAGCACAAGGCTCCGGGATGGACGAGCACATGCCCTGCCGGATTCCCACGAGTGGATGCTGGGAAAAAGCTTGGGCTGGCGTGCCAAGTGTCCTGATTGCAGGCCCCGTCTTGCTGACTGGGAAGGGACTTCTTAGCCTCCTGACATACTCCTTACGTAAGCTCCAGCGGCGGGTGGCCATGGCTGGTCCACCAGGAAGCTGAGCTTGGAAAGCCACTTTTAGGACTGGGTCTATTCCCAGGAGAGGACAGCGGATGTGCATGTGCGGGGAGGATAAGGTGTGGCTCCTGCCCTGCGCAGTCTGCGTCCTCAGGGCAAGGCAGGATGAACTCTCTGCAAAGCTATCCCCAACAGCCAGAGCCTGGGTGTGAGACAGACAGACAGACGCACTCAGGCAGAAGAGAGTGATGTGACCTGCGCTCACTTCATGGGACGTTGGGCTGGATCATGAGGGATGGGCTGACTTGACGTCTTGGGGTGGGGAGGAGAGGGAACCTCTTCAGTGCCAGCTGAGGCGGGGCGTGGGCTGGAAGGGGACAGGCAGGCTGGCTAGGTTAGGCGCAGGCGGGAGCATTAAATTCCCAGGCAGCTTTACCAAGAGCCACAGGCTGGTGGCTAAGACAGTAGTTCATGGGCTCACAGTTCAGGAGGTCAGAGTCAGTGGGCAGGGCTGGCCGCCAGGGGAAGATCTGTCCCAGGCCTCTCTCCTGGCTTCTGGCAGCCTCTTGCTTTGCGACAGGGTAACCCCAATCTCCATATGGCATGTGTGCCTGCGTGTGTCTCCAAATGTCTTCTTTTTATAATAACATGGTCGTGTTGGATTGGGAGCCTCCTTGATGACCTCATTTTGACCTAACTACCTCTGTAAGACCCAGTCTCCAAGTAAGGTCGTGGTCTGAGGTGTCGGGGTGAAGCCTTCGGCAAGTGGGCATTGGAGGGTTACAATGCAGCCCGTAGCACGTGGACGTCAGCTGTCATCAGCACCCGCCTGCTTCTTGGGATGGGAGGAAAGGGCTGGGAGCCTCCAGCTCACTCAGATGTCAACACTTGTCCACCAGAGAGACAGGCCCAGGCGAGGCAGCGTGTGAGAGGGAGAAGTGTTAGTAAGATGGTCAAGACTGTGCTCAGGGCCTGGGTACCAGGTGAAAAGCTTGAAAACTTGGTTCCCCTGCCCCTGCGTTTCTCCTTCCTCCTCCCAGGGGCCAGAGAACCTCCAGCTTCTTAAGAACATGTCTGACGCTAAAAGTCCCAAGGAGAACCCTGCACGAGAATAACTCCTGAGTTCTGGGCAGGGGCAGGGGGAGTGTCACCCTCTCTCCAAATCATCTTCCTGGAAACATGTTTCTAACAGGCAGTAGGACAGTGGCCTGGGAGGGAAAGCCTTGGGTGATTCTGTCAGTAACTTGCTGCGCAATCTTGTGCAAGTCCCTTGGCATCTCTGGACCAACTGGGATAGGATGGACCATCCTGTGCATGGAAGGAAGAAGAGAAGAAATAGTGAGAGTGTCCTGGAAAACACAGAGCTCAACACAGATCCAGAGTGGCACTGTGTTGGTCTCCTTAGTAGCATTTCCTCCTCCTCAGAACAGCTGTCCTCATCAGGGATGTAGAGATCACATCAGACCTGCCCCTTGCCTCCTTCCCAGTACACACCTTTCCCCTCCCATTATCTGCAGAAGTGGCTGGCTCCTGGCCCCACCTTGGTCACCAGGCATCAAAGATTTCCTGAAGACCACTGAGCATAAGTGTCTTTCTTCTTTCATTTGAGACAGTGCTGTGAGTATCTTTGTCTTTGCATAGCTTTTATGTCTTGGTAAAACAGACTGTCACCTAGGCGATGGGGTTCAAGGCACTTTGGGAAGATGTGCTCTTTGAAAATATCAGCCTAGTAACAGACTGGATAGGCTGGGTTATGCTGCAGTAACAAACAATACCTAAATCCCAGTGGCTTAAAAGAGCATTTTTTTTTTCTTGTTCATATCTTGTGCCTGCTGTAGGCGAGCTGAGGTCAGTTCCTTGCCAACTTTAGCTCAGGGCCTCAGCTGATGGAGCAGCCGCTCTCTGGAATGCACTAAGGTGTTGGTGGAGAGAGAAGAGGGCTGCAGCTAGTCTTGAAAGCAGAGGGCCAGAAACATTTAGCGAGCAGTATTAAAGCTTATCACAAGTCCCACCTGAATGCTCCAACACTTACAGTTCATTCAGATGTACCTAAATAACTTAATTGGGCTGTGTGTGCTCTTCCCAGGAGGTTCACAGACTTGATCATGCCCAATCAGAGTCAACCTGGAAGACTTGTTACCTAGCAGGCTGAGAATCTGCATTTCTAACAAGTTCCCCAGAGATGCTGGACCAGGAACCTGGCTTTGAGAACCCCCTGATATGTTGTGTAAGGGGAAGTTTCTGTGCTGCCCACGGCTTCTGAGTAAGTTTCAAAGAGGCCCAACGGGTTGCCCATAGATGCATCCCCAGGTGCTCAGGGCTTCTCCCGATGGACAGCAGAGAGACGGCAAGGAGGGGGTCCATCTGCTGAATCCCTCTGTCTCCTGTGTACTCTTGGTCACATTTTCCCCAAGGGGACTTAGTGCTCTAGACTTTCAGATGTTGTTTTCTGGTCCTTCCAGTGGTCACTTGAAATGCCAGAGCCCAAAATTATCTAGAAACTCCAGGTACTTAAGTGACTGATGGCCCATTCGGGCTGTGGCCCTGGGGAGGTTCTACATGCTCAGTCAGTCTGGCCCCAGAGGGGTGGGCTGTGCCAGCTCCAGAGAACCTGGGAGGTGGGGGGTGTAGAGGGAATGGGGGGGCTCATAGGAGTTAAATCCAGTGAACTCCTTGCACCAGTGCATGACTTAGGTGCCTGTTTTACTATTGCTGTTATTTTGAACACCCAAATGCTACTTAAATAAATTTGACTCGTGTGTTCACTACTTTGCTTACCCTCTCTCTTTTTGCATTGCACTCTGGGCTCAGCTTCCTTCTTGAAGGATCTCCAGTTGTTCCTTCGTGGAGGGCCCATGGTGCTCACGTCTCTTGGGCTTTATTTGTCTGGAAAGGTCGTGAGTTTGCCCTCGCTCTCACCTGGTGTGGTCTGTGCTGAGCTTTTCTTGCAGCAGAGTGAGGACGTGGTTCCTTTGTGTTCTGGACTTCACTGTGGTGTGGCTCTGCAGGTTCTTGGGGATGTGTGTCGGGGCGAGGAGTTATTTTTATTTACACCATTTGCTTCTCAGAGGTACACATTTTCTGCAAAGCTCAAGATTCATGTCCTCCAGCAATTCGGGAAAATTCTCAACTGTATCTCTTCAAAAATCTCCTCCATTCTCTTGAGTCTCTCAGGTTGGAGCTCCAGTCGCCAGGCCCTCCCATCCCATGCTCTTCCCTAAATTCCCATTTTTCATCTCTCATCTCTCTGTGCAGCATCTTGAGCAAGCTCCCCAGATCCGTTGTTCAGGTCTCACAGCAGATTAACCTGTCCGTGGAGGTCTTCATTTCAGTGACAACAGGCTTAATTCCTAGGAGTTTGGGAGGTTCCTTTTCAGATATGCATGTTCTTTTTCTATCCTGTTCATTCTTTCATTATGAATTCTACAGCTTTCATTATTTTAAACATATTTCCTTTATCATC